AGGGAAACTGATGTGATACAGCAATTTGTATACGGGGTAAAAGCGGGAGTTCATAATCCACGTGAATCAACCGTGTAATATGATGTATTAAGAACTATGTAATGTTATGAACGACCAATAAAAAAAAAAAAAGAATATAACCTTAAGAAGACCATAATTAGCAAGCAGAACAAAAAGTTATCAAGATGATAGGAGGAAAACTAAGATATCATGGAAGCCACGGTGGGAGGCAATTTCAAGAAAGAAAAGAACAGAAAGCAAGAGAGAATATGAGGTTCCTGAAAACTGAGAACAGTCTACTAGACATAGTTAGGAAGACATCTTTGGAGCAATTAGGACATTTGTCAAAGCTGAAGGACAAAAGAGAAGGTCCATTAGTTGAGCTCTTTTCTAAAATCCCAGTTTTTAGTCCTTAGAATCACAGGCTAACTGAAGATGTTTGGATGGAGAAAGTTAACTTTTTGTTTTTCCCAGCAGATACAATCCCAGCAGGAATTCTGGCAGAAGGAAACAGAACCCAGCACAGTGCCGGTCGAATTCTGGGCGATTCTTGATTAATGGCCAAAGTAAAGAAAACCCAGCAAGAAGCCAAGTGACAGGATGCAGGGAAATGTGTAAGGGAAGCAGTGTAGGACTGAAAACCATTGCAAAACCATTATTTGGTCTTAGTTAAAAGAGAAACAGAAAAACATGAATTTAAAAGATAACTTGTCATCACAAGGACTTCTCGTACTCATTTTCAATCATTTATTCAACATTTCATTGCTTACCTTCAGGGATGGGCAAATGTGGAATGTGACCAATGGAAAGTCACCTTTACAAGTTTGAGATCAATATCCAGTGGTCTAATCATTTGAAGAAAAATGGAGGATTTTAGCTTGAAGATTATAAAGTCACAAAGCAGAACCAATAATAATCAACTCATTCAGCCTTATTGATAGTTAAAGCAATCCTTTGTCGTTGTGGACTTAAGATTTAGTTTGGGTTGTATTTGGCAAGTGTGGGAAGACAGGGTGTGGAATATATTCAACTACAACAGTCCCTTGGAATTCCCTGCAATTTCATAAACTTTTTAGGAGTTAAGGTTTGTTTGTGAAATCCTCAGAAGGCAACAATCTTGGTTACTCCTGAATATGACTAAGGTGGATTTTCTGTTTCATTCCTAAGAAAGAAACTTGGCAGATTTAAAAAAATAAAATGTTCAACTTATTTCAAATATTTCACTTCTAAAATTTTTATTTCACTTTCTCTTATCTCCAACAGTACATGTTAGAGCTCATACTAGATCTGTGGTCATCTTATTCTTTCTTCATCCACACAAAGTTTAAAAGCTGAGAAATTATCAAAGATGTAATGCAAGACTCGGGATTTATCAATAATTTCAAATATATTAAGACTAGTGTGTCAAAGTACTCATATTGGGAACTTGTTAGAAAGAACTTGCTCATTTTTGTTAAAAGATGAAGTGGTTTTTATTATTTACACATGGACACACTGTGTTTTTGTCCCAGGAAGTATCAAAATCAGATGGGCAGAATAAACTCTAGGATTGGTATTCTGACAAAATCAGCAGTTTCTAAAAGTTGAATAAATTTGTTTATCCTAAATCATTGTGCTGCAAACTAATCACAGATTAAATACAGGGTATTTAAATAAAAATATATGGGGAAAGTGTCTTATATTTTAAAACAGAAATTTCTTTTTTTTTAATCAAGTGAAAATTTTTAGATTAGATCCTTTCCCTTGAAAATTAGATGAAACATCTTGAGTTTTTTAGTTTTCACTCCTTTGTGCAATGCCTACTAGGGATTTAATTGGAATAGGAATTTGGTGTCAGGGTCTGTACCTATAATTTTTCTATGTTATTAGTGATCATTTGCATAAAGAATTTATTTTATACCTTGAAAATAACTTTACATTAGTAGAATCTTCATCATGTAGGATATTTACTTGAACATATAATTCCCTAATAATCACAGTGTCCTTTAGGCCTGGAATTCCTTAATGGAATCCATGGATGACTAAGGGGTAATGAACTATGAAGACAGTAATTGAGATCTCGTGCATGTACCTCCACACCATTTATTAGTCTCTTGGTAAAACGTGCCTTCAAGAAAAATGGTTTAGAGCATAATATTAAAAGTATGTGTCACTGCATCAGTATGAATCTTGAACTCTGTAGATGAATAAAGCGATATTACTACAATATTAAGGTAGACCTTTCTGCCAAACAAAAACAATAGTATAAACTTTTTGTTAAATTCTGTGCCAGTGTTTTGCTTCATTTGGATTAAAATTAACAAGAGTTTCACATTGTGACTCTAATCTTATCAGACTCCCAAAGTAAACAATAGCACAGTATGAGAGACCTTGATTGTGTAACTTCTGCTCTTGCTCTCTTGGAGAGCCATTTTCTTATAGACCCATTCCCAACAATCATGACTACCTACTCACGTTACTGGAGTTTTCAAAATACCAACTGCACATTATTTATAAACTTTTATTTTCTTGGTGGAAGTAGTACTAATCGATAAGCATAACCATCTGGGCTTCTATGTACCATTATATTTATTATTTTCTTATTTCCCAATGGTTCTCAGAATGAAAAGTAAACAGTGGGGGGGGGGGGGAAAGTCCATTTAGAAGAAACTTCGGAAATGCTCCTAAGGTTATGTCCCCCCAAAGAAATGGAGAATTTCTTCTCCCGCCAAGATCCTCCTTTCCAAGCCAGCGCCCACCCACTGTGACCCAGGCGGGTGCACGCCCACGTGTGCCAGCGCTGCTGGCCCCAGGCAATCCCAAATGAGCAGAGCTGGACGCCGCCCACCCAGAGGATTGGCCAGCCGCGGGACCCACCCGGTGGGAGGCGGGCTTGGGGAGCGGGGTCGGCAAGCGCGGGGGCGGGAGAAGGCGGTGCCTCCCCGCCCCTCGCCCCGCCCCCGGAGCGGCTACACCGAGGGACGCCCACGTGCCCAGCCCGCCTTGTGCAGCTCGGCGCCAGGCTTTCTACTCTGCGGGGACGAGCGAGGTGGCGGCCGTTCTTCCAGCCACTTCCAGCCTTGCGCAAAGACAAGCTCGCCCACCACCGCCCCCTCGGTCGGCCCTAGCGCAGCAGTAAGTTGCCGGGTCTGCGGCCGCACAGAGGGGCGGCCTGGGCGTCGGGGGGCTGGCGGGGAATAAGTGTGGCGGGGGCTCTCAGGCCATGTCCAGCTGCGCGCAGCTGCCCGGAGGCCGCGCTCCAGTAACTCTTAGGAGGAGATCCCGGGAGCTGTGGGCTGAGGCTGCAGTTGTGGACCCTGCCAGGCTGCGCTCCGCCGTGCGCCTCTCCTGGTCTAGCCGCGTCGGGCTCTGCAGCAGCCGCGCGGGTCGCGAGAGCTGGGAGAAAGCCTGACACCCAGACTCCGTGGGGGTCACTGTTGTTCCGCGGGGGCCGGGCACCCCTTCCCGGAAAGGCAGGCCAGTCCTGTGTCTGGGACTTACGAAAGGTCCCAGAAGTCGCCTTCTGCCCCTTTAGGGTTCTTGGTTTAAATTTGGAACACGGCTTGGGTTGCTGGAAGTCTTTTCACCTCCGGCTGGAGACCTGGTAGGACAGGTAAAATGGCCCCTTCCTGGTGTTGAAATTGGCATTTTAAAGTAAATGGACGTAGTTTTAAACGTGTTTGAGATAGGATGTATCTTTTAAGTCCATTTTGTGAAGCCTTCAGCATTGAACTGGGAATTCACATCGTGAGGCATTAGCAATCATTGCTAAGCCCGTCACCCCAAAACGCCTGTTCAACCAAAGAATATTAAACCTTCAATTTTCACGTATATTCCCATCTATGGAATAAGGTAATCAGAAATGGTACCGTGTAGCTTTATCAAAGAAATACATTTAGCAGAAGTCACAAAGTCATACAAGGCTTTGGAAGAGGAAACTACCTAGATTTCAAGAGTAAAAAAGTTCATTCTATTCAAACTTGAAAACACTTATGCAAAACTTTAAAAGAGGATTTTAGGTGACTCATTTCGGACTGATAAGATTGACCTAGATGTTTGAACAGGGAATATCTTCAGATCTTACTGAAACAAACTACCTGAATCTAGGGACTGGACTATGAAGTGTATGTGGTCCCCGGGCCTGTTCATTCTTGCCTGAGCCTGTGTTTTAAAACTTTTTCCCCCCCTTTTTCCTCCCTCAGTACTACTAATAATTATCTTCTCAGGAAAGTGAAACGTTTTGTGTTTGTTGTCTTTTTCAAACATATACAGGATAAAACCATTCTATGTTCTATACTTCCTTATGGTTACTTTGGGATATTAAATCCTTTTTCCTTCTAACTTCACAGAAGATTGACATGAAATGGTGTCTCAGCGCAGAATGTGAACCTTTTTTCCTCCCTTTACTAAAATGTTGTTAGTTGGCTACTCCAGGGTGACTCCGGGAGGCCATGTTATATATAAACATATATATTGATTTTTCAAGTTTCCTGCCTTGATTTGTAAATGTCATTTGCCTTAAGCCATTTTAATCTTTTAAGGTATGGCAGGCCTTGGAGACCAGACTAAAACTTTGTGATATCTGCAGAGATTCTGTTTGCAGAGTCCTTGACTTCTTTAGCATATCAGCATAGCTTRATTCCAGAGTCTTCAGTCATTGTCATTGGAGTTAGAGTTAGGAGACTGTAARAGGAGACTAGAAACTGGGAGGAGAGACATGGTAGCTGTGGTCATTTGAGTAATCTGAGCATACTCTGGAGTTTTTCATCTTATAGTTCTATGTATTTTTGCCACTTGAACACACGTGTCTGAAGAGTTTTAAAGATAATGTTTCTTTTCTATCACTACACATGTGCTCACCTTTGCAGAGTGACACTGCCTGGTCCCTGTTTTCTTCTCATAGCTCATTTTTTGTCCTGACTGTTCTGTCCAGGAATGGAACCTGCATCTTCTTCTTTTTTGGTCATACTTTTTTCAAATGGTTCTTCCCTTGTAGATTTTCTCTGATGACTTATTTAGCCTGGTTAATGTCTTTCTTTCTGATTTGTTATATTTGTTTGCCCCCTATCCTGTGTGTGTGTGTGTGTGTGTGTTTTCAGAGCCATCTGCTGGCTTTATGTTGGTACCCTTCAGCTACCAGCTTTCAAAACACAATCATGAAAACACCCTTATATTACTCTTTGCTTCACTCTTTCACCAAAATGGGTGTGAACACATGGATTTTTGAAGACTGACTTCTTATTGCTTACCTGATGCCAAACATTTAGAATAAAAGTAAAATTTTCAGTTGAATATATTTCTGAATTTTCACATTTGGTACTATGTGCATCATTTAAATGTTTTGCAATACAACTAAATACTTAAAGTTTCTCTTAGGTGATACCACTTGATGAATGGCTTAGAAAATGTGCTTAACTTATTCTAAACCTCTGTGTAGTATTCAGATCCATATAGATATAACCTTGAAGAACAACAAAAAACTAATAAATTGTTCTTTCCATTGTCCTCTACTTTAGCAACACAGTGCGTCTCATAGCACATGGTTAGTGTGTCTCTATGATTGAACAAATGCCGCTATGTGAACAATACTGTGTAGCTCCAGCCTTGGAGGTATTTGATGATTATTTTCACTTTTGKGAAATTCTGTGTTGATAGAGAATTAAAAAGAGCAATTTTTTAAATTTGCCATAACTGTATAAAAAAATATTACCACTTCTCAACAGATGATTTCAGTACTGTGCACATCAGAAAGCAGGCGATTAATGCATCTGATCTATGAAGATATCTACAAAGATGATCAGTAAAAGCACATGTGCTTAGCATTTTTGTTTGACTGCTAGTAACAAATTTATCCTGACTTCTCTTTTATTTCCTGTTATTTGCCTTTCTGGCTGTTTTATAAGTGGTGGTGGTGGTTATGGGTATGTGGATGCCATTTTGACAAAACCAAACCAAATGGGGATTCATTTCAGGTGCCAGCTAGTCAAAACAATCTCAGCATATGATTCATCTATTATTTTTTAAAAATTTTTTATACCTTTATTTATCTATTTATTTATTTTTATGTGGTGCTGAGGATTGAACCCAGCGCCTTGCATRTGCTAGGTGAACGCTCTACTGCTGAACCACAGCCCAGCCCTCATCTATTAATTTTTCCTGTCCAATTTAGTAAACAGAACTGGTATATGTTAGTCTATGGAAACAAGGAGTATACTGTTGTTTTTYACATGCTTATGGACTCATAAACTTCAGGTTCTGAGAACCTCTGCTGCCATTGTGGTAACCTTCTCACTGGTAAGTATAATTAGTATTGACTTAAGGAAAGGTATGTGTAATTGTGGCTATTGCTTAAAAGACTGGATTTGAATGTGAATTATATCTCTTCTGTCCTTATTTAGGCTTAGTTTGAATCTCTGTCTACAGAGAGATCTGTGATTCCCTGGTTTTTTATGTGCCTATTGATTTGATACATTGATACATTTGATACATTTTCAAATCTTGGTTTAACTTGACATGGAACTTTATTCATCCAAGATTGGATCATCCCGCTAGGGTATGTCATGTATTGGATTTTATTKCTTATTTTTCTCTTAAAAATGAAATAAATTATGAATCTATACCTGCACATTCTAGGAAAATAATAAAAAAGTGCTGCTACATGCTATAAGGCGAATGATATGAGAACATGACCTTTCTTCTAGGAGTTAAAAAAAAAAAGCACTGTTATATTCATTTTTGGAATATTTGGTGAACAATACACAACAAAGAATTTTTATGTCCCTTGTTGATTCTTACTAGTTTTTCCCACAGTTGTGGGAGAAAATTCTCTTAACCCATTCTGGCTTTATCATACATACAATTGTATCAAAGGCTCCCTAAACATACAATTATATTAAATACAATGCTGTCCCCCCCATCAAAGCTCATTTCTTTCTAGGGGAGATGTAGTGATCACAGAGTATAGAGCGTGGGGTTTCTATGGAGACCAAACAAGGCTGTGATCCCGACACCTTCATTTTGAACTGTACCCATTTCATCCCGACACCTTCATTTTGAACTGTACCCATTTCAGGGGTCATATAAGCAGATTCCACTGAAAAACAGATGTTTGTCTCCTCAGAAAGTCAAATTATAAAGTAAAATTTAAAGCTCACTTTTTACTGATTTTACTTCTCTGTTGGCAGAAAAATGTTGTGTGAGTTGATAACCTTGATCGTGATAAAAACATAAAGATTGTTTGGCTAGGGTATTTTCTTAATGGCTAGATACCTTGTCTGTGGTATCTAGCCATTATTTTGGTAAATGGTGAGTGGCAGTAGTCACTAGTGGAACTAACAGTTAATTTATATAGAACCTAAAAAAATAATAAAAATCTCTTTGCAATTTCTGCATTATTGGCTTCCTTAAGATGAACTTTGGGCAGATTTTCTGAATGCAATACAGTTTCTGCTTCTTAAAAATCACAGACTTTCTAGAATTTGAAATGTGTTAGAGTGGCAAGACTGGGATATCATTTATGTATCACATGCAGTGTCTTATTTATCAAAGCAAGTAGTTTCTTTGTGTTATAATCCCCCTGCTCATCATTCATTCTGTATAGCTTCTGAAAGAAAGTATGCATTTAGTGGAAACAACTGAATTTGATTTTTSTGAAACTAATGTGTAAAATGTACCACTACTCCTATGCAAAAGTTATAGTATTTAGTAATTGTATGAATAACCAAATTACTGAGTGGCATTTTGATACATGGAGATTCTGTTGGAATAGGAGATAGGACTTTGTAACTTTGATTTTAAGAATATCTAATGGAGTTTTTCATCATCAAAATTTAGTTCATTCATCATGGATGAATGAATGTGTATTATATGTGACTGTGGACTGGGTCTAGGGTCTGTAGAGAAACACAGAATAAGTCACTTGGTCCCTGYCTCTGGGTGTTGACAAACTATTGAAAGATCTGAGAGAAAAGGTACAGTATTCTATGAGGTTATATTTTATTTCATTATTATTTTTACTTTGTACTACTGATGATTTTGCCCATGGGAACTCTCCTACTGAGCTATATCCTCAATATTTTTATCTTTAAGAGAGGCTCTCACAAGTAAAAAGTTGCAATCCTTCTACCTSAGCCTCC